GACTTCAGCTTCCCAATCCACAACACACCCATTCCAAAATTTTCTAATGACCCCTATTTTCCATCCACCTCTTTCTCTATTGCAGGAGACATTCTAGGAGGCGCGATAAAGAACCTCAATCAGCTTCTCAAGATGCCCTACGGCTGTGGGGAGCAGAACATGGCCCTCTTTGCCCCCAATATCTACATCCTGAAATATCTCAATAACACTGGACAACTGACGGAGGAGATCAAAGCCAAGGCTGTCGGATACCTAGAGGCTGGTGAGAAGCATCCCACGGGAATTTTCCTCTCACTTTTTACCTGCTGCAGTTGGGAACTTTCAAAGGCTCAATCAACAAATCGGTCACTGGTATTGATACAGGAGGTTGTAAATTCAACAGATTAGGCTGACTGAGACACTTGGAACCTTTCCGGATGTTGGGAACAAGAGACATTAGTAATATAGAGAACCAGTTTGGGTATCTCCACTCCTGCGTGCACTCCTGGCCTCACAATAGCTGGCCAGGGGGGTCACGTGAGAATGTTAATGTTTAATAAATTTATATGCCGCCCAATCCCGAAGGACTCCGGGTGGCTTACATAAAAACAATTTAAAAGAGTACTAAAAAATTTTTAAAAAAAGAAAGACAAGGCAAGTTAAAAGACACAACATGCACTCAACCTTAGTGGGGCTGGACCTCATTCAAGAGGTCAACAGCCCCAGGTCTGCCGGAAAACCCAGGTCTTAATAGACTTTTGGAACGCCGCGAGAGTGGGGAGGATCCGGATCTCTGGGGGTAGATCATTCCATAGGGCCAGGGCAGCTACAGAGAAGGCCCTTCCCCGAGGAGCCGCCAGACGACATTGTCTAGTCGACGGCACCCAAAGAAGGCCCATCCTGTGAGATCTTATTGGACGCTGGGAGGTATGTGGCAGAAGACGGTCTCGTAGACATCCAGGTCCTAAGCCATGTAGGGCTATAAAGGTAATAACCAGCACCTTGAAGCGTGTTCGGAGACCAATCGGGAGCCAGTGCAGCTCGCGGAGGATGGGTGTAACATAGGTGTATCTCGGTACACCCAATATCGCTCGCGTGGCTGCGTTCTGGACCAGTTGTAGTCTCCGAACACTTTTCAGGGGCAGCCCCATGTAGAGAAGGAGGGTCGTCTTCAGGGAAGCGACCACTGCGACTTGTGCTCACTCCTCAGCTGCGGGCCTGTCCCCCTTTCTGTCGTACCCTCCTCCTGGATCCCATTTCCACCCCATCAGCCTTTATGTTAGAGTGGTTGGCATTGGCCACGGCTGGGTTGGGCCAGTTTCTTGGGGTGGAGAGCAGGTCATGTGACCACATTGGCAGGGAGCTTTAGGAGAGGGGTCAAAGGGCTCCAGAGCCACGGGTTGCTGACACCCACCCTAGGGAGGTGGGACCCAGAAGAAGGGCCTTCTCCGTGGTCTCTCTCTCTCTCTGGAACATCATTGCTCCAGAGATTAGAATGGCCCCCACTCTAATACTCATCAAGAAGGTGCTGGAGATCTGGTTCTGCCAGCAAGCCTGGGGAACCCAAAGCAGAATGGAGCCCATTAAATGGCTCGTGTGATCTGTTGTCACTGGGACAAGGGGCGATTTTATAATATCATATTAATTTATTTGATTTTTTAAATTAATTTTATAGTTTTAAACGAGGTTTTATATTCTGTAAGCTGCCTTGAGTCGCCATGGGTGAATAGGCAGCAATATAAATTCAATAAATCATTGAATAAAAATTATAAATGAACAAACAAAATGTGTAAAAATTAGGAACATTGAACATTAAGCACCCAGTTGCCAAAGGTCAGTGTCCAAGGGATCATAAAGGGAATCTTTGAAAGAGGTTAGTGAAGCCAACTGAATAATATTTGCAAATGTGATTTGGAGATTCAAAGCCAGTTTGGCTTAATTTCCAAGTCAAACTGACTATTCGAAATGAATCACAACTTGAAGGAAATATTTCACTTGGGTTTAGAAGCGCACAGGCTGCTCTGCTCCCTTCTAATTTCCCTCTTTTACTTCAGGTTATCAAAGGCAACTGAACTACAAGCATCCTGATGGTTCTTACAGCACTTTTGGAAAAGGTTCAGAGGAAGGGAACACTTGGTAAGATTTCTTTGTTCGTCAGGCTGTGTTTATCAAGCTTTCTGCAATGATGGATTAACCAAATCGACATTCAGAAAATTCAGGAGCCATAAAGGGAATATTGACATGATGGATCCTTGAGGCTCTCTGAGCTTGCTTGTTTTTCTTATAGACGTTTTATTACCCTGACCAGGTAACATCATCAGTACTGGCAAGGTGTGTTATTTGCTGTCAGTTTATATTCTGGTATCTTGCCTGTCTTTGTGGGTGGGAGCAGTCTTAGAGATTGAAGAGAAACGTGGTAACCATATCAAGTGGCGGCATACTCGGGAATAGTTTAAAAAATGAAGATAACTCTGCAACCACCACATTGCCGGTGAAAAAGGGGGCTTTGATTGCCCCGTTATAGTTGCCTTTCTAACTTTCTTGATACCTTCTTTCAATGGGTTCTTCAATCCCAAGAGGGCTAAAGATTGTAGGATCATGGGAACTAGAAAAAGAAAAATGAGGTTCTCCTGTGCTCTGGGCTGTCTTGCAGGTTGACGGCCTTCGTGCTGAAATCTTTTGCTCAGGCGAGATCCATAATCTTTGTGGAAGACAAGCACATCAATGACGCTCAGAACTTCCTGACACAGCAGCAGGAGGATAATGGATGCTTTCGGAGCACTGGGTCTCTTTTTAACAATGCCCTCAAGGTACAAGAAGTGGGGCGGGAGAAAAGGGAGACAAGTCTTTGGAAATGAGAGTTGGGTGTCAGGCTTCCAAAAGATGCCCTAATTGATTCATGAGCCTTGAGTCAAGTTTCAAAAGAAAACCAGTCATTTATTAGGAGCATTTTGGCAATACCTTTTTTTGTAGTCAGATCTGAGCCTCATTTGAATTATAGCTGAACTTTACCCCTATTCCTTCCCTCCTTTCATTCTGTATCATAAATCACATTCTCCAATGAGGTGCACTCCCACAAGCCTGCTATAGTAATCTGAGATCCGACTCTAGCTGAAGTTATGCGTAGAATGCGCTCCCCCAGTTTCCTCACCATGGAAACTTTATGAGTTGACATTGGCTATATTGGGAATACTTGACTTGTAACCACAATTGGACTGAAATTTTGGACCTTAAATGATATAATCATTTAAGCAAGGCATCACATGATCAAACTGATTTTACAACCATTTTTACTGTACTTGTTAAACAAATTACTATAGTTGTTAAACCAGACTAGTTTCCACGATTCACTTTTTTTGTCTGAAATTGGCCAGGAAGGTTGCATATTGTGATCACACAAGACTTTGCAACTGTTGTAAATACAGTTGCCAAGTACCCAAATTGAGAGGGTGGGGTGAGTGATATGAGTCGTAGTTTTGAGGATGCACTGAAAGCCGGTTTCTCCAAGGCTGTTGCAACTTTGGACCATCATTAAGTGAATGAACTCAAGAAGGAATGTGAATTGAAGATACAGATTGAGTTGGTTTGGCCATATAGAGAATGATTGGGAATTACTCTGGATTTCTAATATGGAAGAAAATATGGACTATCTTTCTGTTTATGAACTAGGACATTATTGAAAAAACAGAAAGACTTGTGAATATTCAGTAGTCAGGATTTAATGTTTTACACAAAAAACGGACAGATATGTGCAGCATCCATGTGCATTAGCTATGCACTTTGGGATGAGAACCCTTCGAATGGTGCCGGAGTTTGAATGGATTGCCAGAAAAATTACAGACTACAAAACCATTTGCGCTTCTGTTTGAGATGCAGACAGTACAGGTTCAGCCTCAACTGTCTGCGCCTGCCTTCAACAGTGAATGGACACAGGACACAAAACTTCCTGCAGCCAAGCCATTTGCACTACTCAGGTGACCCTGAGAACACAGATAAACCCCCCAGTGGCCTCAGTGACTCACTAAGAGAATTCAAATGACCAGCTGTCTGCAAGGAATGTAAATCCTTCCATTCCCTACCATCCAGTCAGAGCCGAAGAAGCTTCTTGGATGAGAAGTGAAACGTCTTCAAAAGAAAAAACAAGAAAGTCCAGTTGCCTCCTGAAAAAGCACCATTAGGATTTCTCTATTGCTCAGTTCCCAAGACTCCATGATTTCTTGTGAGGGAGATATCATATAGATATGGAAAATTGGAGGGATGATAGAAGGTGGTGGAAGTTCTTTGTATAATAGGTGCAGCTGATCTCTCTCTCTCTCCTTCAGGGGGGAGTTGATGACCTGACTACTCTTTCAACTTACATCACCATTGCGTTGCTGGAAGTGCCGCTACCTCCCACTGTAAGTGTGCAAAGTGCAACCATGATTGCAGTAAACTAGCAGTGAGGAAACCCAGGTTCAAGTTCCCACTTGGTCATGGATTTCACAATCATTTAGGCTACTGAAATAGACCGTATCTGACTAGCTTTATGGCACATGCAAAGCCATGTCATAGTCTGTTGAAACCAAAATGTAGCTGTATAAGCTGAATAAGCCCAATGACGTCTTCCTTACCCCTCCTCTTCTCCAATCAATTCTGTCCTTTTCTCCCTCCACTCAATTAAGAGGCACGGTGGCTCAGTGGCTTAATCTCAGAGATGCTCTCAATGCTGGTGGTTTCAGCTGAAGCCCTCTGTGGCAGGATGAGCTCCTGTCAGTTGCCTTAGCTTCTGTCCTCCTAACAATTCAAAAGCACGTTTTATGCAACTAAGTAGATAGGCACTACTTTGGTGAGGAGACAACCTGTTGCTCTGTGCAGGCAATCAGATTCCTGACGCCTTTGAAACTTTTCGGTTGTGGTGCCTATTTGCGAGGCACTCCGGGAAGGGAGGGGGCCTTGGGTGATGCGGCAGAAAGAACCGCTCGACTTTCTCTTTAGTTGTATAAANTCAAAGACCGGTAAGGAGCGCGGGCGGGCGGGTGGGCTCTTTGCCGTTCCCGGAAGTTACTTACTTCCGGGTTCGCCGACCAATCGGTTCGCGGGGACCGCCGCAAACCAGTTGAAACCCACCCCTGGCACCACTGTTGCAGCATTTGCAGTTCTTGTGCTATGGTTGTTCTTCCATCCTCAGATGTCTGGCAGCCTTGGTGGATCAGCGTGTGCCGTGTCGTTGAGGGCTCAGAAAAGTGACTGGCTCTAAGTCAATGAACTGGCTTTGTATATAAGGGTGGACTAGAAGTGATAATCTTCCAATTTCTAGCCTGATGCCTCAACCACTACTCCAGACTGAATCTCCTTTCTCCAACTGCATCCTGTATTTCTAGAAATAGTTCCTTTTTATGTTTGTGGTGTTTATTCATTTTTAAGGTTGGTCAAAGGATGAATTGCTACTTTCCTGACCACTTTATCCTTCAAAAAAAAAAAGATTTAAATTCATTGTAACCAAGATATTTGGTGGCCTACTTCTCTCTCTTTATTTGCCGCATAACGAATTGTTGTTATAAGAAATCTCTTATTCTGCATCAATTGCATTATCTCTAAAGCTAGAATGGAATTGTTCTAAATGTATCATATAAATCAAAGTCCCAATTGTCCTCAAACAGAGTTGGGTCTTTCATGTAACCAATCTTGAAAAATAGTTTTAAAAAAATGATTCAGAGAAATGAAATTGTTCAGACATCTGGGATGTCTCTCAGAAATAAATATAGGGAATTATTGGCAAAAAGTAGTATTTCCTGTAAATAATGCCCTTTAAGAGATTACTCTGAAACAACCTGTAAGCTATGAGGATCCTTTACTTTGCAGAACCGTTGACTTTAAAACAATGGATAATTTATTACACTTGGTAGACTTAAAAACACTCAATAGGACTGATTTCTGAGTATCTATTAAACAAACGCTTGTTAATAAAATAGAAGTTGAAAACAAGCTGTTTCTCTTTTCCCTTTGTGCTTCTAAATGAGTACTTTAATTACTGAAATTCACATGTTATTCACAAGTACAGTATGTAATGACTAGGAGGTCTTACATGGGTCCGCTTTTGAAAACGTACATAGTTTTGAAAATGTACAATGTATAATTTTGATGAAAGCAGACGTACAATGCAATATAGTGATGATTATCAGAAGTATATCGGAAAAAATAATAATACTTAGTTTTATCATAGAAGATGTTTGTAATTTGGTATTGAATGTGTCTTTACATGGGAGATATCGATTGACTTTGAGATAACTGGCAGGTATTTTTAATGATATCAGTAATAGAAGACATTAGTAGACATTCCCTCCCTTCTACCCTTCCTTCCTCCCTCTCTCTCTCCCTCCCTCCCTATTTATATTTATGCTTAACTGTTTCTAAGATTTGTTTTCATTGTTTTGTCTTACTTTATGCTACCCAGACTCAACCTTTGGAAATGGGCAGCTATATAAATTCTATAAATATTTTTTTTTTAAAAAAAATCAACCTGACAATAAATGTGCGTATATGTGGATGGAGTCACTGAAGCACTCATCTTGAGCTTAAATAAACTCCAGGGGATGGCAGAGGACAGGAAGTCCTGGAGGAACATTGTCCATGGGATCGTGATGGGTCGGACATGACTTCGCGACTAACAATGACAACAACATGTGTATGTGTATATAGTATATCGGTGGGTACATACTGTGTGTATATGTCTGTCTGTGTGTTCATAGACTTAGCTTATGCAGAATCAATGACCCGGATAAGATGGTTTGCTGCAAAGAAGATAATTTATTTAGAAGTGTTTACCACATGTATAATTTTTTTATTTACCTGCAATGGATGATATATTGGTTATGAGTACAAAAATAATCATATCAGAAGAATTCTGAAAGTTCTAAGAACTGAATGATTATTTCTTTGTTAGCTCTTTGCCCCATGAACTGAAAGTCAATCAGCCAATTTATTTTAAACAAGGTTGAAGCATGGACTTTTAATGATAATTGTGGCTGACAGTTCCATAACAGTTTCTAAATTTGTCATGGTATTGTGGCATTTTACCTGATTGTTATTCAACTCTTTTGTACAATTTGCTCTTTATCCACATTTGTTTTTGTTTTTTAAAGGAAAGAAAATCTCCCTTTGGGACACGAAAATTGTGATGCATATACAACAATCTTTCATAGAGAATATAGAACTGAATCTCACCATTCTGTTCCATCTTGCAGGAACATAAAATTCTAGAAATAAAAATGTTACGTACTTGGTTACACCTCTCACATACCTTTCTTTCTAGTACCCACTTAGCCCTTCTCTGCTTTCAGGGCTCCTGATGAACTTGAAGTGTCAGTTTGATCTTCAGGATGAGCTGTTGGTCGAGGAACTGATGGATCTCAAGATTGTTTTCCATGGGACCACACCAAGTTTGTTTAAGTCAGTCACTCTTTCCTAGCTCAACTTATCTTAGAGAGCTGAGAGGAAAACAAGCAGGGAAGGAATAGAATAGAATAGAATAGAATAGAATAGAATAGAATAGAATAGAATAGGAAGTAACCTTGGAGGTCTTCTAGTCCAACCCCCTGCTTAGGCAGGGAACCCTACACCACATCAGACAAATGATTATCCAACATCTTAAAAACTTCTAGTGTTGGAGCATTCACAACTTGGAGGGTTGCCCTGGCCCGACCGGAGGCTGGCGCGAACTCCCCTCCTGTTTCTTCTTCTACGGGGCGCGCTGCCTTGTCTTTCACAGCCACCTCGTTTCCAATTGGGGGGAATTCATGCAGAGGATTTGGCTGTCAAAGACAAGGCAG